GTTTTAACTTACAGTGTCAATACTGTCACCCATAATGTGACTTCTGGAAAAAAAAATTAAGATTCTTTTGCAGTTCATATTGCCCTGTATATCACATAGGGAATGTATTTTCAAATTATTTTGTTTGAAACCACTTTCAGTTATTCTCTTTTTGTATGGTTATGCCAACAACTGGATGGTATATATTTAGGTACATTTGCTTTATTTTACTCTTAAATTTTAGGAACTGCTTTTTAAAAACGTGTTTGTTTTATATTGTGGTGTAATGTTTTGTTGGTTCCAAAGTCAACAAAATCAGGAGAGGCTGATTTTAAAGAAGGCTGTTATTCTTGTTCCTCCCACTCTATTCCCTCTTTCCTTTTAGAGGTAACTTGAGAAACAAAATACGATTCTTTTTTTTTGTGTGCCTTTTTCCCCCCTGCAAAAAGCTTTATTGTTTCATTTGGTCCAATGCATAGGAGAGGGCTCCTGGGTGGTTAAAAGAATCGCTAGAGGTTTTGGGGAGAGGCTCAGGCAAAAGCCAGACAACTGGGGGAATGCAGAGGGGCCCCTCAAAGGCCTCTGGGCTCCAAAGGCTCCTAGTGAGCCTTTCGAAGAGATACTCGCCCAGTCCAGCCTGGGGGCCAGCCAGCCTGCAGGGGTTGGTCAGATGGTCGCCCATCTTCGTAATAAGTATCACCTCCTCATCCAGGAAGTGGTTCTCCAGGAAGTCACAGAGCTGAGGGTCTGCACGGGTAGAACCCAAGGCATGCAGCTCCAAAAGGGCCTGGTTCAGGTTCCTCTCCAAGGCCAGGCGGCTTCCATGGCGTCCAGAGTTTTGCCTCACTCATCTTGGGAAGACTTCAGCACATCTTAAAAGAGAATGCGGCCACTACGCTGGTTTTGCATCTTCAGGATTAGCTCAGTGCCAAAGGTCACAGGGTCAGTTCCCAGTCAAGGGTTGTGGGTTCACTGTCTGCTCCTGGGTTTGGGCAGTGCGGGAGGCAACCAGTCCATGTGTCTCTCTCACATTGATGTCTCTCTCTTTCTCCCTCCCTCCCTCTCTTCTACTCTCTCTGAAAATCAATGGGAGAAATATCCTCGGGTGAGGATTAAAAATAAAATAAGATCAAGCAAGAGTGGACAGATGAGTGGGAAGGTATGGGCCAGGAACTGGCATTACTCATCAGTGAGCTTATTTGCTTGACTGGATTGTCAAATACTGTCTCTCAGCAGAAGAATCCAGATGCTTAGGGGTAACTTTTTGTACTGGGTTTGTTGCCTCTATCAGTATTCTGACTGATGGGTGACAATGCTCTTATCATTCTCTTGTAATTATACCCATGTTAGGCTTAAATGGAAGCTGAGTAGCAGGCAACACTGACTCCTGGAGACAGTGATGCATTGTTTAAAGTTTGGGACTGCAGGTGTTAGTTACCTCAGGGCTTCTGGTGGATAGCCGCAGGGTCACGTGCTGCCCTTCGCTATTCCTGGGTTGGGACTGTCCCATGTGCACAGTTTGACGTTCTTGCTCCAGCTTTTCATCTCAATATACTATTGTTAAAGTCTGTTTTATGACCCCCCTGCGTTAGGGTTCTTTTGTAAATTACTTGTTCCTCTTGGGGCGAGTGAAAGGGCGTGCTGGAAAATGTAACAGTGAGTCTTTGTGTTCTTGTGATCTGATCATCTTACTCATAATTCTTCAACTAAACAATGTTCCCTTACCTCTAAATAGTAGATGGAAACTTTTGTGACCTCTTGGAAGGTGAAGCTCATGACCATGTGTGTGCATGTGCATATGTAGGACAGGGTGCTGTTTTTTTGTTTTTGTTTTTTTTCGTAATATATTTTTACTGATTTCAGAGAGGAAGGGAGAGGGAGAGAGAAACATCAATGATGAGAGAGAATCATTCATCAGCTGCCTCCTGCACGCCTCTTACTGGGAATTGAACTTGCAACCCAGGCATGGACCCTTGACTGGAACCGAACCCGGGACCCTTCAGTCTGCAGGCTACAATCTTATCCACTGAGCCAAACCAGTTAGGGCTGTTGATGGTTGTTTTTTTTTTTTAAAATTAAATCTTTATTGTTCAGATTATTACAGTTGTTCTTCTTTTTTCCCCCCATAGCTCTCCTCCACCCAGTTCCCACCCCACCCTCTGCCCTTACCCCTCCCACTGTCCTCATCTATAGGTGTACGATTTTTGTCCAGTCTCTTCCTGCACCCCCACACCCTTTCCCCCCAAGAATTGTCAGTCCACTCCCTTTCTATGCCCCTGGTTCTATTATATTCACCAGTTTATTCTGTTCATCAAATTTTTTATTCACTTGATTTTTAGATTCACTTGTTGATAGATATGTATTTGCTGTTCATAATTTTTATCTTTACCTTTTTCTTCTTCCTCTTCTTAAAGAGTACCTTTCAGCATTTCATGTAATATTGGTTTGGTGGTGATGAACTCATTTAGCTTTTTCTTATCAGTGAAGCTCTTTATCTGACCTTCAATTCTGAATGCTAGCTTTGCTGGATAAAGTAATCTTGGTTGTAGGTTCTTGGTATTCATCACTTTGAATATTTCTTGCCACTCCCTTCTGGCCTGCATAGTTTCTGTTGAGAAATCAGCTGACAGTCGTATGGGTACTCCCTTGTAGGTAACTGACTGTTTTTCTCTTGCTGCTTTTAAGATTCTCTCTTTGTCTTTTGCTCTTGGCATTTTAATTATGATGTGTCTTCGTGTGGTCCTCTTTGGATTCCTTTTGTTTGGGGTTCTCTGTGTTTCCTGGACTTGTAAGTCTATTTCTTTCACCAGGTAGGGGAAGTTTTCTGTCATTATTTCTTCAAATAGGTTTTCAATATCTTGCTCTCTCTCTTCTTCTGGCACCCCCATAATTCGGATGTTGGTACGCTTGAGGTTGTCCCAGAGGCTCCTTACACTATCTTCATATTTTTGGATTCTTTTTTCTTTTTGTTTTTTCGGTTGGTTATTTTTTGCTTCTTCGTATTTCAAATCTTTGACTTGATTCTTGGGATCCTCTTGTCTGCTGTTGGATCTCTGTATATTATTCTTTATTTCAGTCAGTGTATGCTTAATTTCTAGTTGGTCTTTTTTCATATCCTCCAGGGTCTCACTAAATTTATTGGCGGTTTCTAGAACATTCTTGAAAAACCTTATAATTGTGGTTTTGAACTCTGTATCCAGTAGTTTGCTTTCCTCCATTTCTGTCATTTGTGACCTGTTTCTTTGTCTCCGCATTTTTTATGCTTCCCTGTGTTGATAGAGCAGCTTTCTGTGCTAGGTGTCCTATAGGGCCCAGTGGCTCAGCCTCCCCAATTACCTGAGGTGGACACTCTTGGTGCACCCCTTTGTGGGCTTTGTGCACAGTCTTGTTGTAGTTAAGCCTTGATTGTTGTAGGTATCACTGGGAGGAATTGACTTCCAGGCCAATTGGCTGTGAGAATCAGCTGTGTCTACAGTGGGAGAACTTCTGTGCTGAAGACACCTTCTGGGGCAAGACTTGCTTCAGTGGGGCTTTGGTGCTCACTGAGTCTGCCCCCTGAGTGTGTCCCTTATGGATCTGCGGAGTTGTAATCTGGATGGTCCCACTCTGTGACCACTGGGTACACTGGCTCTTGGATCTAAGGAGGTGCTAATTTAGCCTCTTCCTGAGGCTACCCAGCAGGAGCTACGAAGAGATCTGCAGATTCCCCTTCCTTGTTTGGGGTTTGGAGGTGCCCAGATGAGGCCCAGCTGTGAAGCAATGCAAGCTGCTGTGGGGCCTTTGGCCTTCTCTTGGAAGTTCTGGGTCTGTCTGGCCCAGCTGCAGTTTGTTAGGTAATTTTCAGATTGCAAAGAGCCAGGGCACTCATATGCAAAAGCCTCTGCTGCAGCTTGGGTGGGGCGGGGTCTCAGGGAATCAACAGGACGGAGCAAACAGCTATGGCTGATCCTCAGTCCTGCCCTAAGAGGCCCCGCATCTCAGTGTCCCAGTAATCGCTGCAAGCACCTCTGAGAGAAAGCCGCCCTCGAGTTCCGAGTTCTGCCCGCTGCCAGACAGTCCAGTTTCTCCCCGTATGAGTCTGGGTCCCCAGAGACTTCCCAGAACTGGAGTTCAGAGCAGTCGGGGGCTTATGACTCCCTCCCGATTCAAAAAGACAGCCGCGTCCTCCGTTGCCAGCCCTTGCCGCGTGCGCCTCCGTATCTCTGCACTTTACTTCCCCACTTCCTCTGAGTCTCAGTGTGCTTTTCTCTTTCCTTCTAGTTGTAGAATTTCCACTCAGCCAGCCTTCCTGTGGTTCTGGATGATGTCCGTTTTGTCTTTTAGTTGTATTTTTGAAGTTGTTGTGGGAGGCAGCAATTTCCGGTGTTTACCTACGCCGCCATCTTGGTTTCTCTCTGTTGATGGGGTTTTAATATTATACCCATTTGAGGGACAGGGTCATCTCTCTGTAAATATCCTGATAGGGCACTACTAGTTGGTTGAGAAGAAAATGCATGTTCATTTTATTTCATGTTTAGTTCTTTGAATCCTTCCTTTCTTTTGTGCATAAGTCCCTCACCTCAGACAGATAGGAAAGAGCTATCAAAAGCAAACCTGCCCATTGTTTACATGTCTCTGTTAATAAGGACGGATTGCTTAAAGGAAATGCCTGTTTCAGAGTTGAGTTCTTGAAAGATTTCCAAATTTTGGGCATTTTGTCTTTTGAGAAGTCAGTGGAGGAAATGATGTCGAGGGCCTGTGTTTACTTTTGGTGGCTTGGATTTGCACTGAATGCCTGGATTTCTTTGAAGGGGAGAAATGTACCTTACACGGGAGGAAGTAGCTTGTGGGGTGAAGTGGCCATTTGTCCTGGAGGGGCAAGGTTTGCTGTTTCTTTGCTTTTAGTCTTGGGGAAGAAAACACTTTCCCTAAATCTTATACAGGAGGCTAGCCCAATGACTCCTAACTCATTGGTGTAGGATTTGAATTGTTGCCTTGTATGGCTTGTATGTCTAATTGAGGCCTTTTTATTTCCCTTTTAGGAAGGCACCAAAGTAATCCAGCCCTTATTTTTGGGGAAAATTATTAGTTATTTTGAAAACTATAATTCTACTCATCCTGTGACTTCCCAAGAAGCCTATATCTATGCCACGGTGCTGACTACCTGCACGTTCCTTTTGGCCATCCTGCATCACCTATATTTCTATCACGTGCAGTGTGCTGGGATGAGGTTAAGAATAGCCACGTGCCATATGATTAATGTGAAGGTAAGTGTCATTTGGTATGAAACTGCACCTCACCTGAAGCATCAGAAGTATTTTGGGAAAGTTCTACCTAACCTAAAATTTTTGTAAATAGAAGCATTTAAATCTTACTTAAAGAAGCTTGATATTTGCATCAGGCTATTTTTTTTAAAAAAACAAACTTTACCAATATATAATGAGTTTTCTATGAGATCATATCAGGGCTGCCTTTGATAACATTTGGCCACAGGCTGTTGCAAAATATTTATAATGTAATCTAATGAAAAAAGTATCAGATTGATTCAAGCATAAAACATTTTCTTTGTTTTCATGCCTGAACCTCAGTTATATTTGTAGGAGTTTTATTGTTGTTGTTCATTAAAACCATCATTTACAACAACGTTGTATTTAAAAGTGACCATCAGTGAAATTGGATCTGTAAAATGAAATCTAAAAAGATGTATTTGAGAAAGGGAATGATGATTTTTGAATTATTTAACTATGTTCAATGTGATTTTATTAATTAAAGAAAACCATAAATGGAAGCCACGTATAGACACTCACTGTATTCTATAATTATGGTTGTTTTTAGTAGTTTTAAAGAAAAATTGGGTGTTGGGGATAAAATTCTAAATTTCATATATATATTTTACTAATTTTGGAGAGAAAAATGGTTTCATCTATTTTATGTTGCTTTTCAATTAAGTTACTATTATGTAAAGTTATTAGTATGTACTAGAGGCCCGGTGCACAAAAATTTGTGTACTCGGGAGGGGAGGGGGGTCCCCCAGCCCGGCCTGTGCCCTCTAGCAGTCTGGGACCCCTAGGGAGATAACGACCTGCTGGCTTAGGCCTGCTCCTGGGTGGCGGAGGGCAGGCCCAATCCCTAGGTGCAGCCCCTGGTGGGGCGCAGAGCAGGGCCGATGGGGAGTTGGGGCACTGCCCCGTCATGCACAGAGCAGGGCGGATCGGGAGGTTGCGATGCCACCCTCAGTCACGCTCAGGGTAGGACCGATTGGGGGGTTGCGGCGCCACCCCCTGTCACGCACAGAGCAGGGCCGATTAGGGAGTTGGGGCGCTGCCCCCTGTCACTCACAGAGCAGGGCCGATAAGGGGGTTGGGGCGCAGCCCCCTGTCACTCACAGAGCAGGGCCCATCAGGGGGGTTGGGGCCCCGTACCCTGTCACACACAGAGCAGGGCCGATCAGGGGGTTGAGGAGCTCCCCCCTGTCACGCACAGATCAGGGCCGATCAGGGGGTTGAGGAGATCCCCCTGTCACTCACAGAGTAGGGCCGATAGGGGAGTTGGGGCACCGCCCCCTGTCACACACAGAGTAGGGCGGATCAGGGGGTTGGGGCGCTGCACCCTGTCACACTCAGGGCAGGGCCAATGGGGAGGTTATGGCTCTACCCTGTCACACACAGAGCAAGGCCCGTGGAGGGGGGTTGGGGCGCCACCCTCTATCACCCACAGAGCAGGGCCGATCAGGGGGTTTGGGCGCCGCCACTGTCACACTCAGGGCAGGGCCGATGGAGAGGTTATGGCTCTACCCTGTCACACACAGAGCAGGGCCCGTGGGGGCGGGGGGGTTTGGGGCGCCGCACCCTGTCACACACAGAGCAGGGCAGATCAGGGGGTTGGTGTGCTGCACCCTGTCAAACACAGAGCCGCAGGGCAATCAGGGGATTGGGGAGCTCCCTCCTATCAGGCACAGAGCAGGGCGGATAGGGAGGTTGTGGCCCCACCCCCTGTCACTCACAGAGCCGCAGGGCGATCAGGGGGTTTGGGCGCTGCCCCCTGTCACGCTAATCCCGGTGCCGGGAGGCCTCGCGGCTCTGCTGATCCCGGTGCTGGGAGGCATATTACCCTTTTACCATATAGAATAGAGGCCTGGTGCACGGGTGGGGGCCGGCTGGTTTGCCCTGAAGGGTGTCCTGGATCAGGGTAGGGGTCCCCACTGGGGTGCCTGGCCAGTCTGGGTGAGGGCCGTTTTCCGGCTGGCGGGTGACTAAAGCTCCCAACAGCTCCTTTTTTTCTTTTTTTTTTTTTTATTCTGGGCCAGCTTTAGCTCTGAGGCCTCGGCTGCTGAAAGCCGGTTTCTGGCCTTTGTTTTTGATACAATGTTTTTGTATTTGATACAATGTTGCGGTCCGGCTGGCTGAACCTGGCTGACTGACAGCCGGTTTCTGGGGTTTTGTTTAGCTTCTTATTTGCAACATAGTACATAGTTGCTTAGAGTTGCAGCTGAGAGGCCGGCAACTCAGGCTGGGAACGTTAGAGTCCGCCGTCACTGGAGCAAGCAAGCTTCCTTGTTCGCTTCAGTGCATGGCTGCCGGCCGACATCTTGGCTGACAGTTAATTTGCATAAGGATATGCTGATTAGCCAATGGGAAGGGTAGCAGTCGTACGCTAATTACCATGTTTCTCTTTTATTAGTGTAGATAGTACTTTATTCCCTTTTAGTGTGCAAGGTAGCAGTCTTAGTGATAAGACCCCATTTGATGTGTTCAGTTTTTTTATATTGAGAAATGCCATGAAAATATCCCGTTATTTACCTTGGCCTTAACTTTTATAAAAGGAGTGAATATTTCAGGTATCTTTACAAAGGACTTGCCACAGATACACCAGTGTCAGGAGCTGAAGAGCTTTGTATAAACTTGATCCTGGGTATTTTTTTGCCCTGATCTGTCGGCTTTAAAAAACACCCCCTCCCCGCAAATTAACAGTATTTGAAATTTGGTAAGAGAGTTCATCTTAACTGTACTCACAGCCCCACTACAGATAACTATGTAAGGTGATAGATATGCTAATTAGTTTGACTATAGTAATCATTTCTCAATGTATATGTGTATCAAAACATCATGTTGTATACCTTGAATATATACAATGTTTATTGAAAAAATGAAATCTTCATCGAAAGATAAAACCGGGCAATATAAGTATTGCTTCTTTTACCTAGTTGCTCCTTATCTTGAGCTTCTGTATCTTGTGAACACTTTTCTTGCAAAATGCAAGATGTCTTCTCCACATCTTCCTGTGGGCTGTATCTTATTCACCTTGGAATTGTGTGAATCCCGGAGGCCTGGCATCTCATTGTCTGTGGTAGGCTACCACGGGTAAGTCTGGTTTCCTCTTCTGTGACATGGATTGTTGTTATTTTTCATCCTCACCTGAGGATATTTTTCCATTGATTTTTGGGGAGAGTGGAAGAGAGAGGGAAAGGCAGAGAGAAACATCAATGTGAGAGAAACACATTGTTTGGTTGCCTCCTGCACGCACCCCAAACAGGGCCCGGCTGGGGAGGAGCCTGCAACCAAGATACATGCCCTTGACCAGAAACGAACCCAGGACCCTTTGGTATGAAGGCTGACACTCTATCCAATGAGCCAAACCAGCTAGGGCATAGAAGTGGTAGCAATGCTGGTACACTCAACTTGGGGTCTCCATTGTCACTGTCGTCGTCGTCATCATCGTCGTCATCATCTTTGTTATTCTGTTGCACTCCTTTCTGCCATTCAGGAGAATACTCAGGTTTATTTTTAAGTTAGCTAGATTTTGTATTTCCAGGTCATGTGTAGCCCCCATAAATAAACAAGACATTTCACTAGCACTCTGCTCTGAAATCTGTAAGCACTGAAGTCAGGTTTGAGGTGACAGTTCAAGCAAAGCTCTTTGCAGCTCAGGTGAGTTGCTGTCCACCTGTTTTTCTTGCTTTTCTCACTAACGCTTTGGAACATTGCCCTTGGGAAATCCAATCTGACTTAATTAGCTCATGCAAACATCTCCCATGGGTATTAATTTGCCAACTTGATTAGCCTTAAAGAATTGACCCTTTACAAAGTCAAGCATTGCTTTGGGTTAAACCATAGACGGAACCTGAAATTCCAGAAACGTGGGAAAGACAGATTTCCTCAGGCACTGCCTTGTATCTAGAATCCTGCTGAGGTGAAGAAATGATACTTTATCACAGGAGGGCTGATGGCTTCCGGCAAAAGCTGACACTGCAGTGCCGCTCTGAACACTGAACATTTGCAGTTTATGCTCAGATCCAACCTCTTAATCTCCCACCTGTGGAGAAAATCAGGTTGGTTGTTATAAATGGAATGGCTGTTAAGCTCATTTTGAATATTGAATGACTTTTTGGGATGTATCATATATAAAAATGACTTGTCATTTATTTACCTTTGCACAGCTTTGGTAAAATTACTTTTGGCTCTTGATCATTGATTTTATTGTGGTAAAATATGCATAATGTAAAATTGACTGTTTTTAACTTTATTTATTTATTATTTTATTTATTTATTTTTTAAATATATTTTATTGATTTTTTACAGAGAGGAAAGGGAGAGTGATAGAGAGTTAGAAACATCGATGAGAGAGAAACATCGATCAGCTGCCTCCTGCACACTCCCTACTGGGTATATACCTGCAACCAAGGTACATGCCCTTGACCGGAATCGAATCTGGGACCCTTGAGTCCGCAGGCCGATGCTCTCTCCACTGAGCCAAACCGGTTTGGGCTTAACTTTTTATTTTTTATTTTTATTAATGGCATTGATGACATTCACGTTGATGTGCAGCCATTCCCACTATTCATCTCTAGGACTTTATCTTCCCAAACTGAAACTCTTTACCCATTAAACACTAGCTTCCCCATCCCCTCTCTCCACAGGTAGCAGCATTCTACTTCCTATCTGTATGAATTTGCTTCTTCCAGGTACCTAATATAGGCAGAATCATACATTGTCATTTTGTATCTGGCTCATGTCATGTAGCCCAATGTCTTCAAGGTTCATCCATGTTGTAGAATGTGTCAGAATTTAACTCCTTTTTAAGGCCGAGTAGCAGTCCATAGTAGGTACATACCACATATTGGCGTTTTTTTTTTAAAATTTAAATTCTTTATTGTTGAAAGTATTACATATGTCTCCTTTTTCCCCCATTGACCTCTCCCTGACCGCTCCCTCCCCCCAGCACAGCCCTCACCTTCCTACTGTCTGTGTCCATTGGTTATGCTTATATG